CAAAGAAGGAAAAACATCGATTCTCCTATACAAATAGAAAGGAAAATATACATTTTCCTTTCCTTTTTTTTTGGAGAGGCTAAAAAATAAAACGGAAAAGTATGAAGGAAAACAAGTGTGAAAAGTGGCATTTTTAGCGCTTTTCGAAATTTTAAATATTTTTTCCAACTTTTTATGTGTCACTACGTCATGCAACTTAACGTGATAAATCCTTTTTAACACGTTTTGTTTTTGCAAGAGCGAAGGTGTTAAAATGGCTATTGTTGGATGTATGTAAACAATGGATTCATTTGAGATGTGCTGACTTACGCCACTACAAAGTATTTTTCAATTGAAAGGAAATTTATTTTTTGTTAGTAATTTAGTAGAAATTTATATATACAGTAAAGTTCCAAGATATAAGCAATATTTTTTAAAAGTACAGATGGGCTTAAATAATTTTAATTTATTTAAAATAAATTTTAAGTCTATAAGTTAAAGGATATAGAAAAGAAAACTGCTTGAGTTTGTGATAGTTCCAGTACCATAAAAACTGTGCTATTGGGATTACTTCAATAAAGGTTAATTTATTTCTTATTATTATCTGAGAAATAATAAATAACAATATCTAATAATAATGATCGTATCTTAAATGGTTGTCAGATAAAAAGTAATAGTTTTCATGACATTAAATTTAAACTTAAATGCCTTATTATAATAATTTGTTACCGGGCTAATTGGTCAATTTTTGGTAATTTTCCCTGAAGATGACTATCGAAGATAGTCGAAATATCGGAAATAAAGTATAAACGATTTTTAAATATAAATAATAAATTAGTGTCTTTTTATTTATATTAAAATTTGACCAATTAGCCCAGTAACAAATTATTATAATAATAAGTTTTGGTCACAAATATAAGTATTTAATATTTATTAAATGCCTTATCGGATTATCAAATTGTTTGGTTGTATTTGTGGTAGCTCAATTACTTGATTTTACAATCAGGTATATGTGGGTGGTAGTGAACGACACTTAGTCGTCGTGGTTGACGAATGACTCTGAGACGTAGACCCGGTTGTTCTTGAAAAACGTTTGATTGTTTGGTTTGGTTAATAAAAACTATGTTCTTATTTTAGACATTATCGATCCAATAGCTTACATTGCACCAATATAAAAACTTATCAGACTATAGCTAATACATTCTATCAAAAAAGCATCAGAAATTCTATAATTTAATGCACATATTATACTAATTCATAGATTCTTATATGATACCTTCAAAGTGTGCCTGCATTTCATCAAGTATTTTCAATCGTTTCTTTAAGCCTTTTTTGGTAATATCTCTAGAAACATTTAAGAGATTTGCTTTATAATTTTCATAAAGTCAAAAACAGCAATGTGAAGAGAAAATATTATTTTTGAGAAGAAAAGAAAATCACAAGAGACTGGTTCTATATATTTAATTTCTGGTCTTAAATATGATTTCAGTTGCCACCACTCTATGTAGACCTACACACGATACTGGATATCATTATATTATAGTGGTTTAAAAGAAGATTGCACTGGTTTCACTTGAATTGCAGTAAAGTATTTAATGCTTAAAATTTTCAACAGAATTGAATACATTGAAAACATTGTCTTGGAGAAAATTTTAAGACCTCAACTTATTTGTCTATATCTGTACAATTTATAGTGTACATTGTACGAAGACGGTTTGATAACTCAGTGACTTTTTGAATTTCTCGCGCAGTTACTCCAAATACAACAGCGCTGCCGTCAGCTGTAATCTACCAATGGGCAACTTTCTAATTTTGAGCAAGCTACGTCGTTCAGTTGGTGTTTAATAGCCGTTCAAAGCAGACAACCTCGTGAATTTTTACGAAAATGGAACAAAGTGAATTTCGTGTGCTGATTAAGCATTAATGGCCAAAATCCACAAATTTGGATACGAACTGCTACCCCATCCAACATATTCTCCAGATTTAGACCCCTGTGACTATTTTCGACTAGTTTTCAAACTTAAAGAAATGGCTGGGTGGTAAGAGATTTGAGTCGAATAAAGAATTCATTGACGAAACAAATGCGTATTTTGAGAGCTTTGAGAAAACTTATTATTTGGAGGGAATAAGAAAATTAGAAAAACGCTGGACTAAATGTATCGAGCTAAAAGGTGATTATGTAGAAAAATAAAATGTTTATTTGCCGAAAAAAATTTGTTTTATTCAAAAAGTCACTGACTTATCAAGCCGCCCTCGTATAAATACATACTTATCACTACTTGTCTGCAAGATTTTTATTTCTTTAAAACTTATGCATTGAGACCTTTTGATTTTGATCTTTTAATCAAGAAGCACGATAAGATAGTGTAAGAAAACACAGTTATCGTATAATGTCTGCTATAGATCTGCAGCTTGCACACAAAAGGATCTACTTGAAATAGATCAAAGTCTATAGTATCAACTATAAACAATAGACTAGAGTATTTTACATAAGCCTTAAGTCTGCGCTTAAAGTAAGAATATACTGAGTTACTTTGTTTAAATCTCAGAGAAATACATTAAAGAAATTTTCTTTAAATGTATTGCAACGAAATATCCCTACCAATTAAGTACAATGCTACTAAAATTTATGTTACCACAAAAGATACATTATACGGAATGCTGGTGTAAGATGTTAAACATTTATTTCACAGTGAGATTACTGAAGCAATTTTCCTTTGAACATAATACTCACTACTTTTAAAATCTTTTCTTTTTTGTAACATTATTGTTAAAATACCAGCAAAAAACTGAAGGATTTCTTAAATGTGACAATTTGTCATAAAATACTGTTGAATAAACTCACACGTTCCACAATGGCACAGAAATGTACACTAACCCACAAAGCAAGGAACCGAAAACAGAAAGAAAAATAATTGCAGCAACAAAAATAGTGTAAGTCGCATGTTAGTTACTTTACGTGTTGTAGATACTTAAGGATATAAAGTAACTGGAACGCACATTAAAAGCTGAAAGTGAAAGCAACGAGCAGTTCACAAGTTCAAGAGGGTTTACTGTAGCTTTTAGCAGCTCTAATATTTCTACTTCGCTTCCTGAAATTTGTGGTGCGTGAAAATACTCAACTCCAGTGTATCAATGTTTGGTTAGGGAATGCTTGTAAAGATATTTACTCACAGATACTTTTAGTCTTTTTTCGAAATTCGTTTGAAAGCTTTGATTGTTGGATATCAATGACAGGAACAAACTGTGTATATCTTAGTACAGAAGGAGTTCGCATAATTTTACTTTTCTTTCTGTTGATGTGACATACTTTTCTAATAGAAATGTGTGTCCCTACCTTCATTAGTTGTTGGTTATAAAGATATAAAAACAAATTTTGATTAGAATGTTATCTTAACGATTGGTTCATTAAAATTTTTGACATTAGAGGATGTTAATAGGTTTATCGTTAACAAAACAACATATGTATTACGTGATATTAAAAGTGTCGACGGCACTTTATCACAAGACAATGTTGGTCTTTTTTCTACCCTTACTTTATTTCATGTCAGCTTTCCTGGTTTCTCCAGGTTATACGGTTCAGGGTTATGCTCCTAGATTGGAAATCAATTTAAATTGATGAATTTTTTCACATTTTCGTTGGTTTACTTCAGCCTCTCTGATCTTTTCAGCGGAATGTTATTCTAGGGAAAGTAGTTTTCGCACTCACTACTAAATAACTGATACGGTATAACTAATGTTACACTATTACCATATGTTAGTGAAAAAGATAACAGACACCGCTGGTTCCTTTAGTCAAACAGAACTTAAACAACGAGTTCTGTTAGCGATCTTTGAATTCATATCTCTGTTGCGAGTTTATTATACTCTAAACTCTGAATATAGGAAAAAAAATATTAACCTCACTTTATTTTGATGAACTAAGAAGTGGTTTCTTTGAACGCAAATTTTATTCTGTTTTGTGATAGAGGCATGACATCACATGACTAGTGATTTACGTGATTACTGTTTTCTTAATAACTCAAGAAAACAGTGTCCTCAATACACGTATAAAGATAATATGCCAATAGATGCCATATTGAAACTTCAAGGAATATCCACCGGTAACAATTGAAGTTATGTGTTTGTCATAACTTGTCCTTTGGTAAGGACCGAGGCCTTTCAATACCTTTGCTGATCTTTGGGTCAGAGCACCTGGTTGGAAAACGCAACTCCATATGGAATGAAAGTTAATAAATACAATCATTTACTCTATCTGCAAAAATTTGAGTTTTAAACACGATCACCACGAGATTGTCAAATTCAATTCGTTAAGTCTGCGCAAGCTGCGGCAGTGATCACTGTGGTACCAGGTACACATCTCTGGTCAGGTGCTGCAAGTGAAAATTCTCTCACTACTATTTATTGCAAACAAATTCGGATCGTGCCGGGATCTAAGTCACTTCTTACGATTGGCATACTTGAATATTGTAATCCCTTTCCCGCGAGGGAGTATCATAGAACCAGTCAGATGCCATAATTTCATTGAATCATAACTCTCAAATGTGGGTTTTCTGATTCCAACATATATTTGTTTTTTATTATAGGAGCAGTTATGATCACGTAATCATAACATTGGGTATCAGCAAACGTATGCGCCTTCTTTTCCCACTCAGCTGGGAACAAATATAAAGATATGAATTTCCAGTAGTTGTCTTGGATTTCCAGTAGAGCAAGGCACCACAAGAATAGTAGATAACTGTTACTGCAACTAGATTGATTCTAGATTGATTAAAGTTTGATTAAAGTTAGACAGTTCCAACGAATTTATTCAGAACTTTTATTCCAATTTAGGCAGATGTGAAGCTAACTGTTTTACCTCTTTTTAAGTAATCTCAGCAAGCGTTATTAAGTTCTTCAAATCTCTATTGATTATTTAATTTTTAAATGAAAACACATTTCATTTTGAACACATTTTTTTTTAATGTTTCTTTTATTTCTTAATAAATGCTTTTTACGAATTTTTTTGGCAAATAACGTATAAATAGTATTTTCATCATATAAAATTATTTTAAGTGTCTAAAGGTGCGTATATTTATGAAACTAAGTTAATGTTTATTAAAAGGAAGAAAATGTCATTAAAGTTATATTTTTATTTAATAGTATAAGCAAAAGTATGGAAACTGAAACTCCTGAAACCAAGCTGCAGAGCCTAAGTAGAGCTTACCTGGAAGCCAACATGGAGCAACTAAGTAAAAAACTTATTTGGCTGCTTAGACATGGCGCTGTCAAAGAAGGACTACCTATAAAACGTGACGGCTTTCTGGCTACTTCTGCTATTTTAGCGCATATTAAGTTCAAAAGATATAATATGGCTGTCTTGAAAAAGATAGTCGAAAGCGATCAACAACAGCGTTATACACTTAAGTACAACAAAGGTATACGTGCTTATGAGATCCGCGCTAATCAGGGTCATACCATAAAAACTGTTCAGTCAGATTTTTGTTTAAAAAAAGTGATTGATCCTTACTCCATTGGTACAATTGCTCATGGTACTTATTATCGTTTTTGGCCAAAAATCAAGGTCAATGGCCTTGTACGTAAATCCTGCAGCCATATTCAATTTTTGGTTATGGATGACAGTTCGACGGAAGAGACAGATGTTTATGGTTTCCCTAGCAATTATGAGATATATATCTATATTGATGTCAAGAAAGCATTAGAAGAAGGTGGTTTGGAGTTTTATCGATCAGATAATAATGTCATTCTCTGTGCGGGTCAAAATGGTTGCATATCTAAGCAATACTTTTTAAAGGCTGTTGATCGAAGAACTGATAAATTGCTAAATTTTTGATTGAATATTAAATTATTATTTTAAGTTTCATTTAAGTTTTTTTTCAACGAAATAATACAAATGAAATTAAGTTTCTTTAATCACATTAACTGAAATTTTTCAAATAAATTTATTTCGCTTTATATGCTTTCTTTTATATGAGTAATAAGCTTATGAGTTCAAACGAAAAGTAAATTTGTGGACTGCATTTCACTAAGTAATGAGTGTGAAATAAAATACTTTAAGGAATTTAATTATATACAATTTGAAATAAAATAGTCTAACATATTTGATTATATTAAATTTGAAATAAAAAATCTCTTAATGTTCTTTTGAGGTAGATAAACTGCTGATTTTAGTCACATTTTATATTTGAATATCGGTATCTATTAAGATTCGATAATTCCATTTACTTATTTATTATTATTTATATTTTTTTTTTTTTCTTTTTTTATTAGATAAATGTGTTGATAGATTGCATTATAGCCATTATAGAGTAAAAGTGCGTAATAGCACTAACTCAAGTAGAAGAAGAAGAATTTAAGAATTTCTGAAATTAAATTTTAGGCCATAAGTAGTCAGTGACTATAACTAAGTAGGAAAGAGGGTAGCTATGATAGAGCTTCTCTTGCCGGAGAAACTTATAGGAGCTATGAGGTTGAAAGTTGAACCTGTTCTCTATCTGCTCTCAAGCTATCTAAGCACAAACATTATGGCATCCGTTCTGAAGCTTCCTGAGCATATACATTAAGACATTTCTTTAAATATTTAGCTCAATTGGAATCGTTGCGAGAATGCCGTTGAGAGCCGCTGCAGTATATTCTCTCTTAGTTGTGATAGAGAGTATACATGTCATTACATGCCATACATCGTTTTGTTCATGGAGCTCTGCGTACGTCATCCGCAAGTCAAGTAAACTTCTTTGGTCAGATAAACATAATACGCATATACATAACAATTTTAGAATGAGATGCACAGAGATTTCAAATCATCGAATTACAGGAGTAGAAAGCTATGCAGGCATTTCTTATTCGTTTTTATATATTTGCCCTCAAATTAAGCTTAAGATTCAGCTATGTTTAATGTAATATTTGTATTTTATATGAGAGCACTATCCTACTGTTATATAGACTACTACTCTATCTGGCTCAGGATAGAGCAAAATCCTTAAGCACTTAGAGTAACCTAACGTTCGATAGTGGACTGAAACAACCGGATGATGATAAATGAACTAATAGACTATCTAACATAATATATAATATAAAAAAATAAAATTTAAAGCAAATTAGGACCACTACGTTCCATATTTGGATTTTTAACATTAGTTTAGAAGATTATAGAGCTGATAAATATAAGCTTAGAGGAAGCTTTTGTTTATTAGTTGATACATACATTTCGATGTTGTTGCTGGATATGTTAATGAAAGTAATAATATCTTCGATTCTTAACAATTAGTTAAAAAAATTATAGAGCAAATGGGATCAGTTACTGGAAGCCGACGTTTAATAACTGGATGTTGATAAGTACGTCAATGGAACTAATAATATATGTAGTATTACGGCTATAAAATTTTAATTTATTCATATAACTATTTTTAAATAAATTAAAATTAATTTGTGAAATATTTATTCGTGTGAATGATGTTGAAATTTGAGCAGAGCCTAATATATTTTCTTTATTTAGTCATATATGTTTTTTGATATATCGTTAAAGATTATTATTCTTCATTAAACTGGTGGAATAAAATATTTTATTTATTTATTTGTTTAATTTTACTATTTTTGTATTGAGTTTAGAAATTAAATTCTAAAATATATATCATTAATTTTTTTTTTGAGAGTACTTCATAGTATAAAATAACTGAAGTAATTGGTCACTTACAGTTTTATTTTTATTTATCATAATTTTTATATATTTTAAATTGAAATTGATACTGAACCTCAAAAAAATGGTTAACTTAATTTTACTTTAATATTGAAAATAAAAATTTTTATTTGCTTTGCCTCTCGATTATCTCATAAAATAAATTTTAGTTTTGTTATTTTATTTTTTATTTTGTGCAAATCAAATTGCATGAGTCCGCATTGAAGTTTTCGATCATTTTGATTTATTGGTCTCTGACCGAAACCTTTTTTTAGGTCATAATTTTGACTGAAGTGCAATAAATAAAAATTTTTGACAACAATAACATTTAATTTCATTGGAAAATTGACATTGTCTGATGTGAATAATGTAAATCGTTGTTGTTAATAAAAAAAATAATAAAACAAACTAGTAAATTAAACTTGAAATTGTTGTTGTTTTTTATTAGATAATATTATTGTTCATACTTTAATATAGTTAAATCTTAATTTATTATGCATATTTTTTTTATATTGACTTTTCGTAACAAATTGAACATTTCCATCAAATTTAATTATATATTAAAGATGTTATTTTTACAAGTTGATGCCTAACTATGCCAATTAAAATTAAATTAACTATTCAGTTAGAGCTTAATTACTATATACATTCGGTTTTTAATAATTTATAATTACAAATTCTAAATATCTAATTACACTAAGTAAAATAAGTACTCTTTATAGTGAAATATTTTCTCTCTTTAATTTATATTTAAAATTCATTTAGTTTTTCAAATATTTTACTTTATTAATCACGAAATAATGTTTGGGAAAGCTCAAGCTATAAATTATTATTAATTTCAAAACAATTTATTCACGCATAAATTAATTTTAATTGAAACTAAATACATTACCAAATATCTTATTATTCCGAAATAATTGGCAAATTGAGCAAATGGAATTTATTCGAATTATTCGCGTCAAATTACATGAAAATTTAATTGAAACTCAATCAAAACACATTTCACACATTTTTGCTTTGCCTAACAAACCACGAATCCAATTATCAACTCAAAATTTTCGGTAATTGTTTGTAATGTGAGCTCTGCCAATTATAACTTCGAACTTCCAAGCCAATTAGAATTTATGGCATGCAAAGCACTGCACCGCACCCATTGAAGATACACAGCAGTACAAGACTATCATTTATTATAAACATATAATCCATACATTTCATATGATAATAGATGAAACAATAATGACAAAGCAGTAGCATTTGGAAATTATATGCCCACATAACAAGCTACTGAGGGAGCATCTCATTAGTCCGGAGTTTAAGAGAACGCTACATTAAACTTCATTAATTGCTAAATAAAATTCAATAAAAAATGCAGATTGTATTAATTAATTTATTAAAACATAATTATAAATTCTCTTTATTATATATATTTTTTTTTTGCAGTAAGCGAGTAAGCGGAAAGCATCAAAAATTACAGTGAGAGACTAGAACCCACTAAAACTACCTCTTAGGAATAAGTGGAAAAGATTTCCACAGCAATTTGGTAACTTCATCTCAGTAATTATGGGAGAGAGATATAAACAAGAGTGTTAATTCCTAATGAACTTGCTTCATCTAAGCCAGAAAGCATGGGTATGGTGCAGGTAGATTTGTAAAATCTTGCCTTTTTTGGCAGTATGTGTAAAGCATAGAAAGCCACAGTGTGAAACTTGAGTTCATTAAAGCCACCTCTTGGGAAAAAATGGAGAAAAGTGCCACTGAAACATGAAAACTTCATGCAAGAGTAAGAGGCTTAATACGTAATGAACTAGGTTTATCTAAACCAGAAAGTAAGAGCGTGCTGGTGGTAGATGGAGAGATCACGAGAGTCACGGTTGTAGAGTGCGTTGATGGGGAAATGTAGAATAACGTGAGATATTTTTTTTGGGGTGGAATGGAGAAGTGATCGCGAAGCAACTATGAACTGATGATAAGGGGTATTTTTAGGTGCTGTGTCTAGTCTCTTCTTTTCAAATTTTTACCCTCCACTTGCACAAAGTGACTCTGCTAAGCCTAGCAACATTGTCTAAAATTAGGTATCCAACTCCAGTGGGCGATAAGGTGCTGGAGAAGTGCTGGACGTTCACTATATACGCTAGTTTGTTGTGTAGTTGGATATGACGATGGTGGATGAATTTAAACAAAATCGACAGCAGTATCAACGGATTCAGTTAGGAAATCTACCAACCTATGATTCGCGTTAAAGCAGTAAATTACTCCATCCCTTTGTCATCTGTGCATTTGTTATCAAGGAATTAAACAAAAAATTGAAGGGTTTGAAGCGTATGGCTTAAGTGAGGTTTGTAAGAACGGTACTTGGGGTAGAGATGTCGGACGGAGAATTATGCAGCCGAGTGATGTATAGTCGGGTGATTGTCAGAAGCTTGTGTTATTTGTTTATTTTTGCTCCATAATGCAATATATATTAATATTAATATATAGTTTAATATTAACAGACAATACAACTATTTAAATTTATTATTTTAATCCTTTTTATCTTGTAGTTTTATTGATTCAGAATCTTTTTTGGTGTCATATCTAAATAATAACGAAAAATGATTTGTGACTTTTACTTAACAAAATTTACATAAGTAATAAGAGATATACAAATAATATTGTGTATCACAGCATGGACAGTACCAAAATTCATCTTAGAATTAAGTGAAAATAATCCAACACAATCTGCGTGGAAAAGAACCAAAAATTCGTCTACTGAAAACATTTGGAAATTCTCACTGTACTGGCATTATTTCGGTTGCGTTATCCTTTATCCTTTATCTGAGTTTGTCTGCCAGTTGAAATATTCAAGCTTTATGCGATTAAATTAAATAAATCTCTTCAATGTTTTATTCATGGGTTTTGATGTGAAAATAATTTAACAAAAGTCAACAAATTTATTTAAAATATTTGAAACGATTTGTTAAAATAATTTTTAAATGGTTTTTTCTTAAAAATACCAGCATAATTTTTTTTTATCAAGAACTAGAACTCACAATCACTTGCTCAACAAAGTCAGTTAGTCTTAAAATAAAATACCAAAAAGTACTATATTAATCATTTGAATTTAAGTGGTCATATCACCAATTCTTGACAACGATATTCCTATCTAAAATATAAACAAAAATGTTTATTAATTAAGTTAAGTA